TTTTTTAGTGTATTTATTTTTTGAGATAGAGCAAGCAGTGGAGTGGCAGAGCGAGAGGGAAAGAGGGCATCCCACTGTCAGCACAGAGCCTGATGTGGGGCTCGAACTCACGAACTGTGAGATCATGACCTGAGTCAAAATCAAGAGTTGGACGCTTAACCAACTGAGCCACAGGCACCCCAATGATACTAATATTCAAATACTGAACATTTTATTTTGTGCACATTCTTCTATTTGAACAAGCTACCATATATATTTTAATACTCATCTTTCAAAATGACCTTACCGCATTTTTCATTGAAAAGATTTTCAACTTTCTGTTTTAGGTCTGTGATCTTGGCATTCCAGGCCTCTGCAAGTAAAAACCAAGACCGTTATTAGTAATACTTACCAAGATACGTCCACGCTCAGGCATTTCTCATTTTATTGTGTGTCTTTAAGAAGTACAAAATAAAAAAAACACAGGTTTTTAGCACAGTCAGGTCTGACAACTACTCTAATCCTACATCATTCAACTGTTTTATTATTACTAATATACTGGCCACAAATAAATGACATAGGCTAAAATAAAAAACAAATGAATACCAAGAAACCTTCCAAAAAAACAATTACAGCATCTACTATCTACCCTGTAAATAATTTAGTATTTATAATCCTCATAATAATCCCATGAAGCAGGAACATTATCCCCATTTTACAGATCTAGAGACTGAGGCACAGGGGTTAAGTAACTATTACAATGCCTTTAATAGCTAATATACATGGACTTACCAGATAGAAAACAACTCACCTAAAAAATTAAAGTATTTGTATTGTTTCCTTTTATTTAAAATTTTTTAAAATATTTATATATTTATTTTTGAGAAAAAAGAGAGAGGGTGCACAAGCGGGAAAAGGCAGAAGAGTGGGAGACCCAGAATCTGAAGCAGGTTCCAGGCTCCGAGCTGTCAGCACAGCCCCTAATACGGGGCTCGAACCCACAAACCGTGAGATCGTGACCTGAGCCCAAGTCGTACGCTTAACGTCAGCCACCCAGGCACCCGGATTGGTTCCTTTTATTTAAAATGATGAAAGTAAGAAAAAGAAAATCCATATTTACCAAAGGAAAACTCTCTCCCTCGAGGCTTGAAGGGAACATTAGAACCATTAGTCTGAGTAGGGGTTCGAACTGCTGAGGTTTGAGGGTTGTTGTTATTAGGGCCTAAAGAAGAATTAAAAGAGAATCCTGATCAATGCATGCATTCAATCACGTTTAAGTACTGCTTACGCTTTCTCTGGGACACGTGCCCAAAAAACCAAGTGACATTCAAACAGCACACAAGCATGGCGCAGTGAAAACGGGCAGGACGCACGGTGTCACAGCCCTCCCTCCACCCATTTATCTACTGCCGTCCCTACAGTCAGTCACTTTTGCCCCAAACATAATCAATTTTCTGGAACATCGGAGGTGCCCTCACTTCACTTTGTGCGTCCCCGTGACCTCCGGAGCCATTGAGTTTTTGATCAGCTATGTTTGCTCACGTTCCTTTCAACCCTTACTTAACCACAGCTGCAGGTGCGAAGGTCTTTCCTTTGGACACTCTAGCTGACTCTGGAAACACCCTTCCTTTGAATTCTGGGTACAATTTAGAAACAATGTTATATAGGAAACCGCTTTCTTCCACTGAATGTAAGGAGGGCTAGCTTAGGTTATTCTTAATAAACCCCAAGCCCTGAGTCTTCTTTATGTAGGGTCACCTAATGCTTAAATAATAAGCTGATTTTTTTTTTTAATGTTTTATTTATTTTTGAGACAGAGAGAGACAGAGCATGAGCAGGGGAGGCGCAGAGAGACAGGGAGACACAGAATCTGAAGCAGGCTCCGGGCTCCGAGATATCAGCACAGAGCCTGACGCGGGGCTCGAACTCACGGACTATGAGATCATGACCCGAGCCGAAGTCGGACACAACCGACTGAGCCACCCAGGTGCCCCATTAATAAGCTGATTTTAATCTGAGGCCAGCCAGCAATTTTTAAACAGTAAGGAAAATAGACAAAATAATGGGAAAATAAAAAGAAATTAAGTTTATTCAGATTTCTTTAGAAAACAACCAATATTCTAAAGATTCAGCTTCAAACTCTGAATTTCCCGACTTGCAGAAATATCTGTATAGCTCTGGACTTTCACCTAAATTACCCTTCTAAGGAGTTACCTACTTCCTATGCTTATCTTCACATAAAAGACTTCTGCTTGGGGAACGGTCTGCAGTGACATTACCACAGCTAAAGGTGCACACGGTCACTGTCCCAAGCACATTATGTGTTTTAACTAACTTACTTTTCACAGGGATCATTACCATGTCCATTTCAACCATAGAGAAACTGAGTCCCAGGGGCTATGTAATTTGCAGTCGACTGCACAGCGGCCAAGGTACGGAGGCGGGATAACCGTCGGAGTCTGGCTCCTTGGTCTCCACCACCACGCGGTCTCTCTGATGTGCTCGCAGACCCGAACTTGAGTCTTTCCTACATCTGGGCAACTGGTGGCCTCAGCATGGGTGCGGCCACTTCCACCTGCTGTACTTAGCCTGGATGTACACGGCCTCAGAAAACCCTCACGAGTGTCAGAGGTGATGACGTGAATGGGAGACTCAAGATGAAATGTATCTGTGATTCTCTATAAAACGTCAAGATGCAACATTCTACTCTAGTTATTTCAGAACTCGTGAGTCAAAACGACAGCTTCTTCAAGACGGCAAGGTAATGAGAGCCCAGGGACTCTGGGCTAGCTGGCTCCAGCAGCCTGGTTTAGCCGGCAGGTATAACCCACACAGGGGCCATCAGGCCACCCTGTCACCACGGCCCTCCAACAGGCTACTAGAGGCACCCAGCCCACACCTCTGCTTCTAACTTGATGCTGGCGATTCCAACAGGGTGAGACAGGGAGACACTTGTGGTCGGCAGACAGAACGGAGTGGATGAAAGTATCTAGCTCTTACCCTACATGAATAAAGCAGCATTCACGCTTATGGTTACGTGAAATAACACCACACACCCACCGCCCAGCTACATTTACAATAACGACAACGTCAAGTACGGTGAGGATGTGAGGCAACTGGAATGCACGTATCCCTGGCAGGAGTATGCAACGAGAAAACCACTTTGGAAGATTGTTTGGCAGTTTCACAGAATGCTAACAACTCCCCGATTCTCGACTAAATACCCCTCAAGGGGAGGAGGGCGTATGCCGCACTTTGTACACAAACGTTTGCAGCATCGTTTTTAAAAAATTTTTTTTTTTCAACGTTTATTTATTTTTGGGACAGAGAGAGACAGAGCATGAATGGGGGAGGGGCAGAGAGAGAGGGAGACACAGAATCGGAAACAGGCTCCAGGCTCCGAGCCATCAGCCCAGAGCCTGACGCGGGGCTCGAACTCACGGAGCGCGAGATCGTGACCTGGCTGAAGTCGGACGCTTAACCGACTGCGCCACCCAGGCGCCCCTGCAGCATCGTTTTTAGACAAGGCTGGAAACAAACCCGAATGTCCACTGACAAATGTATCAACAAAACATGGTGAATCCACGCCACGGAGGAACACTGAGCACTAAAAATGGAGTGCTAAAATGCCGCATAAAACGTAAATCTGAGAGTGTTAGATGGAGAACAAGCATCTGACCATAAAAAGAATAGATACAGTAGGACTCCACTTATAGAAGATTCCAGAACAGGCAAAAGTATTCCACGGTGACAAACAAGCAGAGCAGTGGTGGCCAGGGGGCCGGGCTGGGGGGTGGGGTGGGGGGGGACTGGCTGCTGAGGAGCACGGGGGCATCCCAGGGTGGTGGATGTGTTCCAGAAGCTGACTGAAGTAGTGGGACAAACATGTCTCAAAACTCAAACTGTACAATCACAATGGGTGCATTTTACTAGGTCGAAATTATACTTAATACATTTATTTCTTAAAGTTAAAAACTCCCAAACCAGCACAATTTATTATTTAAAACAGAATATTAGTACAGTGCAAACAAAATACCACCCACCCACCCCCGGCCATAAATTGGCAGAATGTTCCTGGACACGGACACAGCTCTTCACCAAATAAATCCCTTTAAATACTACATCGGCCTTTGCAGACAATAGGTTCAGGCAGGGCTGATACTGTATCTCCTCTGTGTCTTGCTTTGCACGTACACCTAATCCCAGAAGCTCCACTGGTCATCTCGTATCCGTGAAAGAAGGGACAAGAGGAAACCGGGAAGCCAGCCTCCTAATTTCTGAGCTACTAAAGGGTAATCTACTTTCAAAATTTCTTTTATGTAAGAAAAACATGAATCTCCCTCTTTGTAAAGTCACAGTTGGTTACAATAGAATCTTTTTTTTTTTTTTTAACGTTTATTTACTTTTGAGACAGAGAGAGACAGAGCATGAACGGGGGAGGGGCAGAGAGAGAGGGAGACACAGAATTGGAAGTAGGCTCCAGGCTCTGAGCCATCAGCCCAGAGCCCGACGCGGGGCTTGAACTCATGGACCGCAAGATCGTGACCTGAGCCGAAGTCGGACGCTCAACCGACTGAGCCACCCAGGCGCCCCAGAATACAATCTTAAAACTGTACCTGGTAAACTTACTTCTATAGACCCAATCATATTAACTCTTTATTTCTCTGTTTCTCTAACCTGTAACTCCTAACCAAGAGCTTACTTATACTCGCATTTTAAGTAGGCTCCCTGCCCAACGTGGGGCTTGAACTCACGGCCCTGGGATCAACAGCTGCATACTCTACCAGGTGCCCCCGAGATAACAAAATGGGGGCTGAGGCGCCACCTAGTACTGTAAACCATTAACACGAAACTTGAGGTTATGTGACAACAAAGAATCATCCTACTGAAGTGGGCCTTTCTTTCTGTGTTAATTGCAGAGACAGAGGGTAGTAACCATCCTGGACAGCAGGCGGAGAGCCACCTCTACGGGGTGAAGTATTCTAACTCCGTGAACCTGCAAAGATGAGTCCCTCCACAGACCCCCTGGGAGTGGAGAAGGAGTTACTTTGAAGATGTAGGAACGAGTTTAATCCAAGGCACTGCTGTTTCAACCATACGTCAACTCTTTACTGCAAAGAATAGGAAAAAAAAAGAGAGGAGAAAAGAACCCTACGTATTGCTCTCTGCACCCTTTACTTTATTAGGAGGAAAGAAAAGCCTCTTAGGGATCGTCCTGCAAGCAGATTACAAAGTGCTCCAAGAACACCACGTGGACCGTTGGGAAATTCTGAACAGGAACAGTTCTGAAATTTACAAGAGGCAGCTCTTCACACCTAAGCCCAGTTTTGTAAAAATTCAATTGCATAAAAAAGAACTGTAAACTGAAGAATCATCAGAAACCTACCGCAGGTGGCCTTACCTTCCACAGTGACCTCAATTTCAGGAACTTTTGAATTACTCCCAGGGCTTCGTGGTCTTTTTGGGGACTGCAAGGCTGCAAAATAAGCACACGATTACTTCTGTGTACTGTAAACAAAGCAAAGCAAAACAAACAAACAAACAAACAAAAAACAACCCAGAAGCAGAGTGCGCCAAACACCCAGGCGCCTGGGTGGCTCAGTCAGTTAAGCGTCCGACTTCGGCTCAGGTCACGATCTCACCATTCGTGAGTTCGAGCCCCGTGTCGGGCTGTGCGCTTACAGCTCGGAACCTGAAGCCTGCGTTGGATTCTGTGTGTCCCTCTCTCTCTCTGCTCCTCCCCTGCTCACACTCTCTCTCTCTCTCAAAAATAAACATAAAAAAAGAAAATTAAAAGAAAAAAAAAGAAAGAAAGCAGAGTATTAAAATTTATACAGTCTGGATTTTTTGGAGGAAACCTTGAAAGGATTCAATTGGAAGTTTAATCCTCCACATGAGTCTCAACAAAGCTGTGGACACGTGAATGAAGGAGGACTGCAAACATGAAATTTTCAACAAAATGTTAAAAAAAGAAAAAGGGGTGGTGGTCCATTACATAAAACACCTGGGCGGGCGGGCGGGGGGGGCGGGGGTGTGGAAAGCAAGCAAGCAAACAAACCGAAAGCCCCAAAAAGATACTGGCCAATGATTCCATGTGATTTAGGTCATGTCGATAAAGAATGTTTTAATGCACTGAGGTTAATAAAGAGTATATATCATGTCTTACCTTTAGTGTTTATTTTGCTAGCCATTCCCGGAGGCAAATAGGAGATAACTAGTTCAGGTCTAGAAAGAAAACCAAGACACATTACAAGAGCCAGGACACTACACTGGTCTTCACAGACCGTAAGCATCATCATGACCAGAGATTCTGTTACTAAAGGCCATCATCATGTAATACACAATTAATTCTGTGTATTACAGAATTAACTACCCCCCCCCCCAAGGTAATCTGCTACTTGGTTTTATGAAGAGTAAATGACTTCTTTCCTGAAAATGAAAATTCACTAACACCAGTTTAGTTGCTGCAACAGTGGAAATTCTGCAGACGTGTAAGTAAGGAACATAATTGTGGGAATTCAGCTGTGCACAAGCTTAATGAGGAGTAACGGAGCAGAGAAAAATCTGACTCTTCACCCTCTACTCAGCATTTAGGAACGCTCAAGAGTCAGCACAGCGTCTCTGCCCAAGCTGAACACCACCCCTGCGAGGCAGGTGTTAGCATTCTCCTTGTACTGACGTAGATCAAGTACAGGTTAAGGGATGTGCAAAGGCAGAGGCCAATGCCAGGACCGCAGCTCAGAGCTGTGTCTTCCCATCACGGACTACAAAGCCTTAGGGGTCGCCTGTAGCCAGAAAAAACTTTAAATAGAAACAGAACGTTACTGTTTTAATTCCAGGAATGACTACAGTGGCAAATCGAACTTACTTTTTAACAACAAACTTGATTTTATTACTCCCACGGACAATCCTTTCAAGTCGTGGGATTCCAAACCAGGTAGGGCTTCGGAAGGGAATTCCTTCTGGCAAGCCTTCTACATAAAGGAACTCGGGGTTTGATTCAAACACAGGGTATGGTACTTTTACTGCCTCTGTGAGTCCAAGAGCTTGAGCTGCAGGTGAGGAGAACATAACGTGCGGAAGGTAACATTTTACAGACATTCTTTTATTTTTGTCTGCAATCTTAATAATAAGCTTTTTAAATAATAAAAACCCTTTTTATCTTATCAAGATATACTTGACATATAACATTATACTAATTTCAGATGTACAACAGAATGATTGGTATTTGTACAAACTGCAAAATGATCACAAGAAGTCGAGCTAACATCCTGGCATTCTCAAATGTGTTATGCAAAAATTCCCTACCACCTAGCAATCTCTGCTCACCATTATCTTTTTTTAAGGGGGAGCCTCCACTCAATTATTGGAAGCATTTTGCGTAGTGTACCGTGCAAAACTGAAGAATGGGCCTAACAAATAAGTACTTGTAAAAAGAACATTCTAGTCAAAGTGATCTCTGTGCTCTGTGCAGAAACGAACTACGGGCCATTTCATGCCCAAAGAGACAAGTGGCCGTAGAAAGACAAGAGCCGTTATGTGGTGCACCTAAGCAGAGCTCATCATGTTAGATCAGAGGCAGAGGCGGCAGATTCCAGATCCAGGCCACAGAACGTTCACACCAGGTACAAAAATGACGGATGGGAAGGCCCCAGGGACACTGCTGTCACTCCCACTCCTTACTTCCTTTTCCATGACAGACACACACCCAATCAACTGAAACACTCCTGCTGAATCTCCTCAGAATCCTCAAGACAGCGGTCAACAGCTAGCTGTCACCAAATCTAAGCTGAAACAAACGAAACTTATTTGCCGCCCGTGTGTGGTAGCCGGACTCGAAGTGCAGACGGTGGGGCGGAGATCCCCCCCGCACCCCAGCTTCTCCCCACCACACACCACACAACTGAATCCAAGAGAAATAAAGTAAGGTACTCAGGGTAAGGAGCAGACATCAACTAAAACCCAGTTTCTGGGACCTTCCTTCCGTAGGTTCTGTAGTGCTATCATTCATTCAGAACCTGCCTTTCATTTAGGTTTCTAAACTAAGACATAATCACTGGGTTTTACTTACCAAATTTCAAATTAAAAATCTCCTCCACTTGCTTCCGTAGCTTGGTAATTCTGACATTCCAATCTTCTTTGACTAGAAAGCAAAAATAAACGTAATTAACAATGTTTCCTTCTTGGTGCCGACACACAACTAGGTTGGATGCCACTCTTCTCAGTGATGTTCTTTTTTACATTTTTTTTTTTTTAACATTTATTTATTTTTGAGATAGGGAGAGACAGAGCATGAACGGGGGAGGGTCAGAGAGAGGGAGACACAGAATCTGAAACAGGCTCCAGGCTCCGAGCTGTCAGCCCAGAGCCTGACGCGGGGCTCCAACTCACAAACCGTGAGATCATGACCTGAGCCGAAGTCGGAAGCTTACGCGACTGAGCCACCCAGGCGCCCCAGTGATGTTCTTTTTTAAAAGACTGAGATTTATCTCATATACAACACAGTGGCAGTTTAGGGAGCACAATCCAGTGACACTCTTCATTCGATTTCGTTTACAAACAAAAACTTTGGGTCTTAAGGAGAAAAAGGATTCCCTGCACCTGTCAAATAGCAAAACTTCAGGAAGATGGAATGCAAGTATCGGTTCACACTGTCAACAAAGAACGTGCCGGCAAGATTGCTCTCGGCGAGTGCTTTACAAGTGGCTCCTCCGTGGAGACCCAGCACAGGATCCTGACAGGTCAAGGAGGACCAGCTGGTACAGAGCCAGGCTTCCCATGCCAGGTTCAACCACAACAGCTTCAATTACATTTGCTTTCTATACAGACATCCTTGGTTTATCAAACGGATGTGTGGCTAGAAATCCGTAGAAAGCAAAACTTCATTATTCACAGAAATAAATGGTAGGAATACACGTTAAAGGGATTAGGGAGATGTCACTAAACACTCACATCTATAATCTGGTTTATTTCTTTACCCCTGTTTACAAGACAACCATCCCCTTAAAAATTTTTTTTTTGTTTTTAATTTTTATTTTAAGTAGGCTCCACACCCAACCTGGGGCTCAAGAGTCACACCCTCTACCGACTGAGCAAGCCAAGTGCCAGGACAACCATCCCCTTTTAAATATAAATAAAAATACAGAGAAATGGGCCATTATGGAAGACACATAGGAGGTCACTTACTTGAACAGACACTCAGGGCTTATTTGCTGGGGCTGTGGATGGAGAGGGTCTTGGAGGCACTATTGGGTGATGGGAGAGGCTGGACAAATAAAGGAGGGAAGGGGAGAGAGAGAGAGAGAGAGAGAGAGAGAGAGAGAGAGAGAGAGAGAGAGAGAGAAGGGTGGGAAGGCAGAGAGCAAGGGTCACATTCGGCGTGGAAGGGGTCTAGGGGTCTGTGTCTTCGGACAAAGACAGTGGGAGATGCTGGGCAAGTTCTGGAAATGCTAGTAAAGGTCGGTGGTTTCGGAAAACCTTGCAACACACTGTTCACTCTTACTGTAGAAGTACTTTAAAACCGTTCCTTTGAACGAAATCCTCGCATCTCAAGGGTTTACTATGGTGTGCCTCAACCGTTCAGCCGGAGGACGTACGTTTGGTACAAACCAAATTTGAAATATTACTACAAAGACATCCAGACTCCCCTTCTCCAAGGTCAAGGGCTTCTGCTCACCTACCCAGTTCCTGCCTCACCCAACGCCTCCTTAGAACAGCTGGTACCTGCCATTCTAATGCAAGAAGATGTCTGAGCTACTTCGGGAATCAAGTGACCCTTCCTGTTCTGCCCCTTCAAAGCTCAGTTACCTGGCTAACTCCAAGACTTTCTCACGTGTGCCACTATGCAAATCTTTTACCAAACGGAGGGCAGAGTGTCCCCACAGCGTATTTAAGCCTACAGCTTTTACCAAACTGTGTGTCATTCCAAGAATTAAGTCGACCTCTTGAACGGCAGAACTAAATTCTGTCGTGCAGTGAGACTTGAGCTGGGCCAGCAAGAGACTAGTGCCTGGTTCACTGGCAGACATTTGCCAACTTTAACTCTTGCCAAGATCACCTATGAATGGTGGAAGGCCAAGTATTATTAATAATTCAGATTACCGAGATTTTTCTTTCGATGACGGGCTTTTCGGCTATCTATGTCAAAAGACAACAGATCAAGTACTGCTAAAAACGGGACCTCTCAATCTGTGGCGCCGGGCACGTATCGAACATCCTCAGGTTTGCAGTCACGATCAGAATTATTTAAAAAAAAAAAAATTTTTTTTTCAACGTTTATTTATTTTTGGGATAGAGAGAGACAGAGCATGAACGGGGGAGGAGCAGAGAGAGAGAGGGAGACCCAGAATCGGAAACAGACTCCAGGCTCTGAGCCGTCAGCCCAGAGCCC